TAATATTCAACACCGGTATCAGAAATTCAGGTAATATTCAACACCGGTATCAGAAATTCAGGTAATATTCAACACCAGTATCAGAAATTCAGGTAATATTCAACACCGGTATCAGAAATTCAGATAATATTCAACACCGGTATCAGAAATTCAGGTTATATTCAACACCAGTATCAGAAATTCAGAAAATATTCAACACCGGTATCAGAAATTCAGGTAATATTCAACACCGGTATCAGAAATTCAGGTAATATTCAACTCCAGTATCAGAAATTTCAGGTAATATTCAACACCGGTATCAGAAATTCAGAAAATATTCAACACCGGTATCAGAAATTCAGGTTATATTCAACACCAGTATCAGAAATTCAGGTATTAAACAACAGTATCAGATATTCAGATAATATTCAACACCGGTATCAGAAGTTCAGGTAATATTCAACACCGGTATCAGAAATTCAGGTAATATTCAACACCAGTATCAGAAATTCAGGTAATATTCAACACCGGTATCAGAAATTCAGATAATATTCAACACTGGTATCAGAAATTCATGTTATATTCAACACCAGTATCAGAAATTCAGGTAATATTAAACACCAGTATCAGAAATTCAGGTAATATTCAACACCAGTATCAGACATTCATGAAATACTCAACACCAGTATCAGAAATTCAGGTTATATTCAACACCAGTATTAGAAATTCAGGTAATATTAAACACCGGTATCAGAAATTCAGGTAATATTCAACACCAGTATCAGAAATTCAGGTAATTTTCAACACCAGTATCAGAAATTCATGTAACATTCAACACCAGTATCAGAAATTCTGATAATATACAACACCAGTATCGGAAATTCAGGTAATATTCAACACAAGTATCAGAAATTCAGGTAATATTCAACAATAGTATTAGTTTCAGTTCAGGTTTAGGATTCATGTCTTCTATTTCAGGTTTAGGGTTCATGTCTCCTATTTCAGGTTTAGGGTTCATGTCTTCTATTTCAGGTTTAGGGTTCATGTCTTCTATTTCAGGTTTAGGGTTCATGTCTACTATTTCAGGTTTAGGGTTCATGTCTTCTATTTCAGGTTTAGGATTCATGTCTACTATTTCAGGTTTAGGGTTCATGTCTCTTATTTCAGGTTTAGGGTTCATGTCTCCTATTTCAGGTTTAGGATTTATGTCTGCTATTGCTAGAGTTGGATCTATTCTCGCTCCTTTCATTGTCATGGCAGGAGAAACTTCACCAGGTAGGTTTTAGTGAACTCTCCCTTTTATTTCTAGGTTTATTTAGGTGAACTGTCCCTTTTATTGCTAGGTTTATTTTAGTGAATTGTCCCTTTTTTCTAGGTTAATGTTAGTGAACTGTCCCTTTTTTTCTAGGTTTATGTTAGTGAACTGTCCCTTTTATTTCTAGGTTTATTTTAGCGAACTGTCCCTTTTATTGCTAGGTTTATGTTAGTAAACTGTCCCTTTTATTTCTAGGTTTATGTTAGGGAACTGTCCCTTTTTTTTCTAGGTTTATTTAAGTGAACTGTCCCTTTTATGATAAAAAAGCAGGTGTAACATGATTCTCAAAACGGTCCTTTTCATTTTGAAAAAAATTATGGCATTGCGATGCAATTATGTGAAAAAAAATTTTATAATTATCCCTCTATTAACAGTATTAAACATGTTTTGGTAACCTGTTGCTTTTAAATCCAAACTGACATGATGGTACAAATGACAAGCTATGTCGCCCCTTTGTTCATTGTAGAAAACCTCAAAAATTATCTTGAAGAAAACAGATACCTCTATAATAATTTATTTCAGGCATTCAGTTTACAGTGTTCGGGATTCTAGGATTAACTGGGGGGATTCTAAGTCTCTTGCTGCCAGAAACCCAGGTTAGTAGGGTTAACTTGTACACCCTCCCCCCCTTCCCCCCTCCACCATCAATATTATAGAGGTTTAGTATGGATTGGCACTTTATGACTTTTTCCCCTCCTGTTCGTCAACGGTAAATTAGAATTGTTAAATAAAATCAGTTCGCCGGTTGTTTTATATTTTCCATTATTTTTAAAATCTGCCCTTTGTTCACAATCTCAACTCAATATTATTAACGGCGCTTACGGAACATATTGTAGAAATCGTTAATACATAGATTGAACAATAATTACAAAATTATTAACCAATGATTATATATTTAAGGATAGATTAAACAATAATTATATGTTCTAGGATAGACTAACCAATAATTATATATTTAATGATTTATTGTCCAATAATTATATATTTAAGGATAGATTAAACAATAACTATATATTTAAGGATGGATTGTCCAATAATTCTAAGATAGATTAATCAATGATTATATATTCTAGGATAGATTAACCAATAATTATATGTTCTAGGATAGACGAACTAATGATTATATATTTAAGGATATATTAAACAATAATTATATATTTAAGGATGGATCAAACAATAATTATATATTTAAGGATGGATTAAACAATAATTATATATTTAAGGATGGATTTTCCAATTATTCTAAGATAGATTAATCAATGATTATATATTCTAGGATAGATTAACCAATAATTATATAATCTAGGATAGATTGACCAATGATTATATATTCTAGGATAGACTAAATGATAATCATATATTCAAGGAAAGATTAACCAATGATCATATATTCTTGGATAGATTAATCAATAATTATATATTCTAGGATAGATTAAACAATAATTATATATTCTAGGATAGATTAACCAATGATTATATATTCTAGGATAGACCACTACCGGAAACTATACCTGATATGATGGTGGAAAAGAGCCGGAAAATCAGTGTTATGAATTTATAGCAAAATTCATATTTCATCTTTTTTGCTGTTTTAGAAATTGTATTTCTTTTTGATATTTTTTTTTTTTCGTAAATTTTTACAAAACCTAAGTCATACATCTGATATTAAATGTTGTAAACCTTTTTAACACTCAACAGGCCTATTTAGTTTTTATTATAATGTTTGTTAAACTCTAGATGTGCTAAAAAGGGACTGACATGGACATTGGACATTTTTAGTAATCATTTATTTAAAGACAGTCATCATGGTTCACAACAATACCCTGGTAACTTTTATCTAAAGAGCAATCAAAATTTGGAACATAAAACTTTTAAAGAGACATTGTGGATATCAAGATCATTTTCCCGATCAGTCAAAATTGTGAAGAGTACTGTTTTGAAATGGACCAAGAAATATATAGACCAGGAACCACCATATCTGATGCGTCAAATCTGTGTACTGCAGTGGGAGGAGATCAAAACAAAGAATTCAGGGGCAACGCATAGTTTTTGAGGGAAAAGGGCCCAGGGGTGAAAAAAGAATATATTGCTATTGTATTTTTCATATTGACCAAAAAGCCAAAGTATTCGCTCTAACAATTGTTTTTTGTTGGACTGTAATATCACATCAGAGCTGCAGTCCCTTCCCTTCAACTTCTGTGGGGGCACTGGGTTTGTTTACATTCCTCCCACAGTGTACAGTACACAATTTGCGTATATCTGAGTTGGGCGTGCCTGTATATAGTTCCTTGAATAGGACATACCATCCTATAAAAAAAGGATCACTTGAAATACACCTGCACAGTTCCATAATTAGAAACAAATATACTAGTCTCTTCTTTTTTGATCATTACACCCTATTGTACATTTTTTTTAATTATGCTTTTTTAAGTTGTTTATATATTTCATAGAATATTCTTCCCCCTTCCTAAGGTTTAAAAATTTAATAAAATTGCTTTTAATATTAGTGCTTTCCTACTTTCTTGGCAAATTTCTTGAGAATAAAAGTTGGGAATTATTTTTGAAATGTATAAACCCCTTATAGATTGTTTCCAAGGCCTAAAGCTGTGCTTCACTGTGATATATTTTATTCTAAATAATTCTAAGCAGAAATTACAATTCGAAATTTTACTTAAATTTTATAGTTTGAATGGGCTAATAGATGCTAATAAATTTAATTAAAAATGGCTTTTCGTTAATTTTTAAAACTTTAACCATATCTATTTTTTATTGCATTTCATTAAAAGCCTTTAAAGAAGAAGATATCGGGTCTCTCATAGTGAACGATTTTTGGACCCCCCCCAGGCCTTACTGTACTGTACTGTACTGTACTGTACTGTACTATATCTATACTAGCTTGGGAACCCACCTTTGCCTAGAACATAATTTTTTTGTACAATAGTCCATCCACTCAATCGGACTGTGTTATGATCGGACTGTGTTATGATCGGACTGTGTTATGATCGGACTGTGTTATGATCGGACATGCAGAAAGGCAAACAGCGATTACTACTTTATATGTAATGAGCAACCCTAACATTCATAATAAAGAGTTAATTATTTAAAAACAAGATACTCCATGATACTCCATGCAAAAACAGCAATGCCGAATTCACAACAGTACGCTTTAAAGCCTTATGAATTAGATATTAATGTTTATAATTTTGGAAACTGATTATTTTCAATTGTGGTTTCTCTAGTAAAGTGACTTGCCCTGTAATTACCATTTAATTGCCTTGTAATTACCTTTTAATTTCCCTGTAATTGCCCTTTAATTACCCTTTAGTTGCTCTGTAATTACCCTGTAATTACCCTTTAATTGCCCTGTAATTGCCTTTAAATTGCCCTGTAATTATCCTTTAATTGCCCTTAAATAAATTTCAATGATGTTGTATTTTGAAGAATGATATATACTTTGGAGAAAAAAACCTAGCGGGAGCGGTTGAACGAGCGGTTGAGATCTAGCCAAGACTCTACGCAGTTCAGAATAAGAAGTTAATAAGAAATTTACAATTTGTTCAACCGCTAAATCGCACTTTTCTTTCACATTTTCAACAAATGAAATATAATTTTTCCTGAATAACGTTTTTGCTTTCAACCGCTTGTTTAAAGATTTTTCAGCAACTTTTTAACTTTCAAATGTTTTCATATTTTTCAGCATTTTTTTAAATTTCAACCGCTGGTTTAAAGATTTTTCAGCAACTCTTTTGCTTTCAAATGTTTTCAGATTTTTCAGCAACTTTTTTGCTTTCAACCGCTGGTTTTCAGATTTTTCAGAACTTTTTTACTTTCAACTGCTGGTTTCAAGATTTTTCAGCAACTTTTTGCTTACAACCGTTTTCAAATTTTTCAGCAACATTTTTTATGAACAACTGTTTTCCAGTGGTTAAAGCAACCCAGCGGTTGAAAGCAAAAAAGTTGCTGAAAAATCTTAAACCCATCGGTTGAAAGCAAAAAAGTTGTTAAAAAATTTTAAAACCAGTTGTTAAAAGAAAACATTTTTTATGAACTTTTTTCCAGTGGCTAAAGCAACCCAGCGGTTGAAAGCAAAAAAGTTGCTGAAAAATCTTAAAACCTGCGGTTTCAAGAAAAAAGGTGCTGAAAAATCTTAGAACTGGTTTTTAAAAGAAAAGTTTAACATTAAAAACTGTTTTCCAGAGTACAAAAGCATCCAAGAGGTTTAAAGCAAAAAAGTTGCTGAAAATCTTAAACCCAGCAGTTGAAAGCAAAAATGTTGTTAAAAAATCTTAAAACCAGTTGTTAAAAGAAAAAAAAATTTGAAACACTGTTTTCCAGTGGTTAAAACAACCCAGCGGTTGAAAGCACAAAAGTTGCGGAAAATCTTAAACCCAGCAGTTGAAAGCAAAAACGTTATTAAAAAATCTTAAAACTAGTTGTTAAAAGAAAAATTTTTTTATGAAAAACTGTTTTCCTGTGGTTAAAGCAAACCAGTGGTTGAAAGCAAAAAAGTTGCTGAAAAATCTTAAACCCAGCGGCTTCAAGAAAAAAGGTGCTGAAAAATCTTAGAATCGGTTTTTAACCCTATCTCTGCTGGGCAAAGATAATATATATATATAGATATGCAGGCAGGTATAAATTTAGAGATCTTGAGAAAATGTGCAAACAGCACCATCTCTGTCGTACTATAGTATATGAATAAAAATCAATAAAGCAATGCACTGAGTTTCTCAAATATTCAACGAG